GAAGATTTTGGTTTTTCACCTGAAAAAACTTTTTCACTAAAGAATTCTCTTGACGTGTTCAAGTGAAAGAGCACGTTATCAATCTTACAAAGAGCAATTTTTTAAAGACCTTAACGGGATTTTTAGCGAGTTTTCTGTGTCGAACGTTTAAGAAACAGAAAAACCGCTAGTATTCGTACATAATTTATGAAAGGGAAGGTACTGTTTTTTTTCTGTTTTGTTTTTCCACATATGTTACGCACAATTTGCGACAAAGAGAGTAATAGAGAACTTTTGCAGAACCACGCTTTGTACAAATATTTGCTGTGTTTTTAATAGATATGATAGCTGGTAAAAGTGTTGAAAGCCCTTTTTTTCGAACATTGAGCACACGTTTCAAAAATAGACTCATTGCATTGTTTCTCTTCAAATTGTATATAACTTTCTCAACTCGCAAAGCAAATTTGATTCACGTTGACAAATGGAGAATGACCTACATGTTTTAAACCACTGGAGAACCAAGCGTATTGAATCATTGGTGTGAATGCATCTGCACTTATTTGATTGTGCATTAGACTGACTAAACCGTATGATGTTATGTCGTTCGTGTAAGTGTATATCTGATTCATCCAAAACTACACGATGATATCATACTTTGATAAAACTTTCATTTACCTGTTGAATCGTTTGCTGATAATTATCAACCGATGGCACCATTTGTTCCTTCAACATCTGATCTCGTTCGACTCAATACTCAGTTTAATCACTGACAAACATTAACGATATGGAAGATACAGTTGTAACACTGATAAATTCAACTACTTCAAACATAAACATATCTGATAATTATAACCCAGGTAAAAAAATCCGATGCTGGATCCGATCGGATTCCTGGAAATGGAATTGCATTGGAATCCGACTAGAAAAATCCCGTCGGTTGTTGCAAATTTTATGAGCGATCTTTGTAGCTATGTTCTATGGTGGTCCTTAGAAAATCTAGGAAATCCATGTTTCGAATCCGTCGAATTCCTGTAGGATCTGATAAAATCCTATATTGAATCCGAGTATGGGATTGTTCGACCTGGGATATCTTCAATTACTTGAACGACTTCNCTTCAATGTAGTTTACTTGAAAAGTTCTCCAATGAATCAAATGAAGATCAATGAACGTGCTTGTAGTGCTAAAGATGTTATGGATTGTACTAATAGCTGTCTCAATCATTGTATTGTCAATCCCAAATATTGTGGTTCTCAACTTACTGCTTGTCAAAATCGTTGTTATTCTATTTGTGGTTGGCCACAAGTTGGTAAATAAAACAAGTTTTATCATATGAAGATATTATCAGAATATTATTGATGCTTTGTTAAAACTCAACAATAACATACACATTATCCTCTCAAGTTTACTCTTATTAATCAAGATTTCTTTTTTCCCAAACTATCATCCAGTTAATTTTCATCTCTTATATTCCTAATTGCCTAATAAAAGTGGTTTCCTGAAAAACATTTTCTAAGTTGATCGAGTAATTCATCAGTTGATGAAAATAAAGAATTATTTTTATTAATCATCTTAACACTAAAAATCTGACACACGTAGATGAGACATTCTATCAGTTAATTCGACAATATTTTTTTCGATTTTCAATGGCAATTGAAAGTATTTGACATTGATCAATATTTTGTAAATCAAATTGGCGTATTGATCTATTAGAGTATCCACAAGGAGATTTTCTTTCGCATAGTAATGAAGACCAACTTTTGAATGTCAATGAATTGAGATATGTCGCTCGATCAACTTATTTTTGGAAATGACAATTAAAACAATTTTCATCGAAAGGAACAAATTTAAATCTAAGTGACCAAAATTGAGAAATTGAAATGAAGCAGAAGAATTCGAGTCTTTGAAGGAGTAAGTTCAAAACCAAGAATATGAAAATTTGTTTAATAAAGAAAATCAAAATCGAAAAGATAAAGTAATTTATAAAGATAAAAATTATTTTTATTACATTGGATAGAGCATTGATGTTCAACAAATCAAAAATTGACTTCGAAATGAATTCAATAAATTATTGACACATTCTTTTTTATTTTCACCATCATTAAGACGAAATATCATATTTAATTGAAAAGATTTCATTCCTGCTAAATCTTCAACAAAAATTCGTTGGCGATCTTCTTCATTTAAATCAATATCCATATGACAAATGTTGATCGATCGTAATGAAATTATCTAGTGAAAAGTTATTCTATAATTAAGAAAAGAATTGATTGAATCGGGAGTTCCATTATCATTGGAAAGAGTTAAAGATATAATTCGATCAGTTATCAATGGAAAATATCGTTGATAAAATAATCAAACTCAAATTTTGAAATTGATCGAAAATTCAAATGATAATTCTTGTCATAAGTGAAGAGACTATCATGTCCATCTTGCCTTCTCAGCAATGAACTTAAATTGATTCTAATACATTGAATTACTATGTTTGTAAACCATGATCATAATAATATATTTTGCGACTAACGAATATCACTATTTGATATAGAAGAAGAACGACTATTATCAGGCTACGTTTTGTGTTTTCTTCTCGCTAATGTTGTTAAATGAAGAGTATAATCATTAAACGATTAAATACGTCTTAAAAAGCGACAACAAATATAACCTGCCATGATCGATACGACACCAAGAACAACATATGAAACGGTTTTCTTCTCTTCGCATAAACAACAACTGAACAAAAAATAAACTTCGAAAATGAAAAAGTACAATTTCTTACGTTATCTTTTCAGTCATATCTCGGAGAAGAAGAGCCATCGGAAAAAACGCTGGAAAGATTTTCTTTGTCTCATTGAGTCATACGTGTAAAGTCAAGAGATAAAGCATACAATAAGTTCGGAATCATTTGATGTAGCTTCTTCGTTAGAATTCGATAGACTTATAGATTTTCTTATATGTATTTTATTTTTAAATGATTTTATCGGGTAGTATTTAAAAATTGATCATAGTTGAATCGAATTGTACTTTTCTCTCTAATTAATTGCATTGTTTCAACTCCATTACAATTTTTTGATTGACAATCAATAAACGATCGATCATTAGTCGTTCGATCAATAATATTAAATTCTATAAGACGAGTTATTGATGGTAAAAGAAAACGATCAGTGAAACAACCAGCACAGATTCGATTTCCTTCTGAATCCTGAAGATATCTTGTTGAACATTGTTTACAATCTGTTGGATCCACTGGTATTTTTTCACTACATGTATCAATCGATGTTTTATTTGAAAACATTAAACACCAATGACCATCAAATGGTTCAACTGGTATTAATCTATTTTTAATATCATTAAATTGATCAGTAATAATTAATGAATATAAAATACGTTTGAATGTATTGATATCATTACATCGATCACTTGAACAAGAATAAGTAAATGAATGTAAGAAAAATTCTTTTTTTCTTTCAATATTCAAATAAGCATAAGCACTAAGTACATTTCCAGCTGAGATAAAAGAGGAATTTTTCATTTCATCACCAATTGAACTGATAAATATTCCAGTTTGTTTTGAAGTTAAAAGCCATCGTAAATTAATGTAACACGAAATTCTATTTCTTCTTATTGGACAATCACCAAATTCTTTAGGTATTGTATCAGTTGTAACTATATAATTATACATGTCACGTACAGATGAACAATCATAACATATTATTCCAATAGATAATCCAATAAGCAATGTAAAGAAAATAAACATACGAAAAATCATCTTTGAAAACGATATAATATTATTTAAAACGACGTTGGTTTTATAATACGTATATATAACAATACAGAATTTTATCTTAAGTTTTGTTTTTCTTACTCATAGATAAAATCTTTTAAACTAAGATAAAAGAACAAGTAACGCGGCCTAGTGGCCACTAAACCCTCTATTGAAAGGATATTATTAGAGCGCTAATATTCGTCCAAAGAGAGAAAAAAGTTATATCAGCTGAACGATCGGATCATTTGATAATTTGTCAGAATGCTTTACGTTGAACAATTTCGGTTCCTGAAATCTTTTTACTATCTTAACTTCATTCGGGCGAAGACGTGATCCAGAAGTGAGCTCATTTCGGAAAATCAGTTCATAATCGAAAACTCAGAAACTTTACAGAAGTATATGATTTTCTGGAAAAGGTTTCAATCTTCTTTTCACCACGAAGAACTTTAAAGAGCTGCCAGATATGCTCTTAGAGACCAATGATTAAGTTCTAAATCCAAGAAATCTTAAAGCTATATGAAAATCACAAAATTAATTTTTTGAAATATGATTCATTAAATCGACGACTGGTCAGTCGGGCACTTGCAGCTAGCCGTTACATGTACATTTTCACTCTTCCATCTAGTCTAGAACTGTGAGGTTCTCGACGTAGGGGATGTGAAAATCCTATAGTCTCGAAAATGTGTGTGTACCTATCACAATCAATAATGAATCCTGGATCGCAAATGATCTATGGATCTCGAAAAAGAAATCGATCTTACCGTACCCAGTGAAAGATGTGAGATGGCAACCACGTTTATTCTGGTCAGACCAGAACAAAACAAACGAATAAAGAGAATCACACAAAAATGAAAACAAACAACTCTATATATAGAGCAACAAATAGAAAAAAAACGACAACTGAAAAATAACAGCATGGTCTAACCACCACAAAAAATTACGGAAAGACAACAAAGAATGATCATCATGAGGACATGATGATCAATAGAAGAAACACATTCCACAGGAAAGAAAAGAAAAGAAAAGAAAATGTGTATCACGACAGAAAGGAATGTGAAGAGAGGAAGAAAAGAGACGAACGTAAAGAAACATAAACATATCTATATATATGTACATAGATATGAAAAACGATAGTGTCATGTAGTAACAACCCATGACGCTAACACGAGGGAACAAATATTTCTCGAAATAATCTTTTACAACTTATGTTCTAAGTAATAACAAAAGAAATAATTAATGTAAATGAAATCTTTTTGTTTTATTAATTTGTTAAAATATTCTCTGTACAAAATACAATAAATAATAATCAATTATATTATTAATTAACAGAAGAGTATTATCTTTGTGCTTTTATGATAGCTTAGATATGAAACAACAACAAGAACTATACTTCAAGTTAATGCTATGTATGTGCTTGCTACACATCGAGATATTCTTGAAAAACTTCAATTAGAAATCGATCAATTATCTTGTGTTGATGAAATGAAAAAATATCCTGATTATGACTTTGTGGTACAAATCTCTTATATGGATATGTTTGTTTTAAAAGTATTAAGAATAATATATCCTCTCATTCCAGCAATTATTCAAAGACGTGTTGTTGAACATACAATTGTCATTGGAATTCACATTGATAAAGGTAATTTCGAACATATTAGATGAGAAGAATATCTTCATACTTTTTCTTCAAGATTCTATAATGTAAGTTTCAGTTTACGTCATTCATTTTGATCATAAACTTTAGAAATCTGATCATAATTCAACGAGTTATTTACCATTTGGAGGTGGTCCACGACATTTTCATGGGTATACGTTTGCATTGACTGAAATAAAAATTTCATTAGTCATACTTATAAGATAAAACACTCTAAATTTTATATGAAATTTATTTCTATAATCAATGTCTTTACTCCATATTTGTTTATTTTTAGCTAATTTAGTTAAAATAAAGTGCTCATTTCGTCAAAATAAAAGAAACGAGGTGAACATGAGGATGAGAATCACGGATAAGAGAATATTCATACTCTCACTCTCTTATATATTTGTTTGTTATCGTTTGTTAATTTATTTATTTTCAAAAATTTTTTCAAAAATTATTCAAAAAGAATTTATTATAGGAATAGTTGAATATGAAGAAAAAAAAGGATGAATCATCAGTAATATGTTGATGAAAATAGAATCAAAGAGGAAGAGTAATAACAACAACACTCCATGAAGGAATAGTTATTGTAAAACTTCCAAATTCTGTTGAAACAGATTTTGTAATGATCGATACAGCATTTGGATTATCAATTGTATTCGATACTTTTGAAGGATCAACGCCTGAACCAGCACTTAAAATATAGGCAGTACCTGTAGCTGATGTTATTGAACCTTCAATTTGAGTTGTAACAGTAATATCCTTTGAATCAACACTTGCTAATTTAACAATTAATGTATTCGTATTAGTTTGTTTTGTAGCAATAAAATAAAGATTACCAAGTTTACCATCACCTTCTTCTCCTTGTTTTATTGATTGACGTGTCATAGTGGGACCTATAGCTACAGAATGAAGAATCAGATTACCAAGATTTTCACCAAAAATCTTTTGAGCAAGATATGAAGTTGTTTTAACAACAAAACTTGTATTAAAAACAATTAAATTTGGTGTCCATTGTGTATTGTAAACATTTTGAAGAACAGGAGCATAACAACCACCAATAATTATATCTGAATTACGTTCAAAACCAATTCGATAAATCGATTCAGCAACCGCAGATTTAACTGAAGGATAACTTAGTCGACCAGGACCAAATGGATCATTTATGTATGAATCATTATCATTAATAACTGCAAATTCTCCAGCAAGTACTTTTGGACCCGATCGAGGTACATTTTCATAACGACGAAAATTTTCTATAAAATATAATGGAACTTGATAATCATGATCATCAACAGCTGGTGGAGATTTTATATTATTAGTTGTTGTTGCAATAAATGTTATCTTTGGATATCGTTGAGAAAGTGCTTTATAAAAAGCTGACCATCGATAACCATAGGTACTTGGAGCAGCACCAAGCCAATCTTCATTACCTATTTCAACATAACGAATATCAAATGGTTGACTTCGACCTAAACGTTTGCGTAAAGCACCCATTTCATTATTATCTGCTGATGCAGTAAGAAAATCTAATTCTTTGATTACTTCATCAATATAAGGTTGTAATTGATCTTCTGGTACAGCTTTGCCATCTAATGAATAACCAGCATACACTGCTAGAATAGGTGTTGCACCAATATCTTCAGTAAAAGTTAATAATTCTAATAATCCAAAACCTTCTGTATTATAACCTGTCCATGTTCCTCGTCGTCCAGGTCGATTTTCAAGTAAACCAACTGTATTATTCCAAATAAAACGTTCAGGAATCGATGGACCTTCAAGATCATTACCACCAGGAAGTCGAACAAAACCAGGTTTTAAATCAGCAAATGCCTGTGCAATATCCTTTCGAGCACCATTTGGTCGATTTTTAAATGTCGATGGAAAACTTGATATTAAATTAAATTCGAAATTACCTTCACTAGCCGCAGGAAACTCAATAAAGAAGAAATTCTTTGTAGTTGGAGCAGCATCAAAAACCGTGATATTAAAATTGAAATAAAACCATTGATCAATAGGCGCTCTAGATACATCTATACTTTTCGTGCCATAAACAGTCTGACCAGTCGAATCACTAAAACCAACCTTTAAATTATCACCGAATACAAATGCACCTGCCGATGCTCGATAAAAGAAACTTGTTGTATAATTTTGAGCTGTTAGATTGATACCATAGAAACCTCCGTTTCTAATACCAGATGTGCTAAATGATGGAATCGTGATTGAAAATCTCAATTGAACAGGCAGAGTACTATGTAATGGATGATTTTTAGTAAGAGTTGTTGATGCTTCACCAAAGGTTGACCAACCATCTAATGATCGATCCTTTTCTAAATATAAATTATATTTAATTGAAAGAATTGTATATTCAAAAACAAGAAAACCTTGAAAAGCACGATTATAAATAAGTTCAGCATATAAACCACCATCATCGCCTCGATTAATATTCGTTTCCAGAATAACACCATGTATTGTTGGTGGAATAACACGGCCAGAATCAGAATTTTCAATGATGAGTGAGACCAAATTCTCATCTCTTTGATGAGCACCGGTTGGTGTTGGTATAGCTGTTACAAGAAGACTGATACAGAAAATAAGTAACATCTTCATAATCTATAAATATTTAAAAAAAACGTAATATAAAGAAATGACTGCTACTTCATTGCTCGTTTCATATTATAAATATTCCTAAATACAAAGGAAAGATAAAAGCATATGCAAATATATCAGGTACATTAGATAAAGTTCTTATCAAGTAAAAGCTAAATAAAAAGTCAACACTGTTGCAGCAAGAAATGATGAAGATGGTATGCTTGATGATGTGGCGTGTAAGTGATGTGTTATCTAACAACATTTTTATGTCTCAAAATAGAATCTGTACAAATAACCTTCGTCGAGGCTGACTCACCTGATCTTCTACTGAATTGGTACATTGATATACAAGAGTAATTGTAATCTATGCAACCACCCAGAATCTTTCTTACATTCTTCACAAACACTGTTGTGTGTGTGTGTGCCTATAACTACCCTCAAAATTACAAAACCTGAATTTCTTCAAGCACAAGTAATGTGCTCTCATCGAATGATAAGGATCTGAATGAGCATCTGGGTGAATGTGCAATGGACCTCAGTTTACTCTGCCAAATCGGAGACAAGTGTGCCCATTTATTTCACCAGTATCCAGAATTCTATTAATGATTACCAAGTATCATATTCAGTCTTCATTTAACCTAAACATGTCCACCCACACCCAAGCTCATAGTTTCACTGATCCTACACTAAAAAAAAATCCGGCGTTTAATCAACCCTCAAAAAAGGGTTTATGACTAAAAAATTTGTTCATCAACCTGATCTACCCCTAGATCAACCATTTTTTCTTCAAAAACCCACGAAGGGTTTGTTATATATTGCAAACTGATAAACCCAAGGTTTTATTCTCTATTGATAAACCCTTTTTCCATTGATCAGCTTCATCAACCCTCAGTCAAGAGTTTGTCATCACTTATAAGAAACCCGTCATTTTAGAGATGATGAAGCTAATCAATGGAAAAAGAGCTTATCAATAGGGAATAAACCCTTGGGTTTATCAGTTTGCAACGTATAACAAACCCTGCGTGGGTTTTTGAAGACAAAAGGGTTGATCTAGGGGTAGATCAGGTTGATGAACATATTTTTCAGTCATAAACCCTCTTTGAGTGTATGCTCGTTGTATTGGTATAGCACGTAAAGACATTAGTTAAGCATCACAGACAACATTTGCTTTGTTCGTTTTCTGGACCCAGCTCCGCTGCAGATACACAGCTAACTCTCTTTTTCGAACCTACAGATGAAGACAATCTATTGTCAAAGGTAGTTATTATGCAAAGCATAACGTGCTCTTGAGTTCAAAATTATAACTACCACTGTCCGGATTTCGACTCTTATTAAAAGAATCGATCATCAGACGATATAAAAAAAATATGCTTGAGTCGAAATGGATTCCGAATTAAATTTATAGTATTAGTCTAGCTTCGTTGATTTTATTCTGTTGTCTAAATAAGCTTGTATCAATACTCACTGATCTCGTAGGCTTGTACGCTTGGAGCGGAATGATATTATTGCTGTTGTGATTTGAAGTGAATGGATTTTTTTATAATTGTGTTACATGATGGGATGAATGTTGGAAGATAATTTTCCTTGATGTGATGAGGTGATTTTGCTCCATGTTGATTTGTTGCTTGTATTAAACGGTATGATATCTTTGGCTATTGGCCTAAAGGAAATTCTGAAATAAATCATAGTATTAAGAAAATGGTGGCAGTTTCTCAATAAGGACTTTGTGGAAGGTATGAGTAAGAGTTTTGATTATTAGAATGAAATATTGATTTAACGGTGTAGACTAGAAAGAGAAAGGCAGTCTCGTACTGAATAATAGAATAATCACAATAAGAATATGACTGTTAAGTTATAAAGTAATGAAAGAATATATAGATGGTGCTTACTTTTATGATAACTGAAACAAAATGAATATATGGTCGAAATTGTTCTGAGTATTTATAGTGCTTATGAGGAAAGTGAACTCTGGACTATACTACGCATGGGTATGTGGGAAAGAATGCACTTTAATATATTCCCCATGGATAGGTGATCAGCTTCTAGCATGAATAAACCTAAGATATGAAACAATGCAACGGAATGTCGAAGAAAAAACAATAAAAGATTGACGGTGAGATGTGCAAATATGCTATGCGATAGACTGATATCTGTTTTTTTCAGAGAAGAAGCGTTCGCGAAGGAATGTATAAACAAGATTGAAAGTAGAGAGCGAATGTGACGAAAAAATACGAATCATACATATTTTTTCGTTTACATTTTATGAAAAAATATCTATATAGATAATAAGCGAAAATTCAAAACAATATACATAATTTGGTAGATTTGATGGTTGTTAACCCTTTGGTTACGGGTGACCTATATATAGGTCACTGCACGAGAACGACAACCAGGGCTGCTCAATCGATGTCGCCGATTTTACCGGCATCTATCCCATCTTGTAGAGGGTATTTTATTAGGCATAGTTCCAAATTTTTAGCCTTAAAGCTTGAACTTTGACTGAGATACACGAAATTTACTGAAAGCACTAAAAATGGAATTTTATCAATTTTTGAATTTTTTCAGCTGTCGCCCACATGCAGTATTTTCGTAATATCTCTTCAGGACAATGTGATAGAGACCTGAAATTTTTACTGTACATACATTTCGACATGGAGAACACAACCACCTTATTCAATAAGAGATATATCGTTGAAAAGTGTAGTCGCTATTTCTGACTTGTTTGGAATATCCAGCTAAAAATGGCTCACCTTGTGAGTGGACTTTCTTCCGATCAGCTCAATCGATTT